TAACTCTGGTTAAAAGTGTTTCATCTGAGGGTGCACAGTCTTTTAAAAGCAGATAGCTACTTAATCACTTTTGCCTCATGACTAGTGAAATTTCTACTTTTACTAAAGAACTATCATTTGTTCATAGTTTAGATGGAGTTATCTTGATACTATATAGTGTTCACCATATTTCTGATATGAGTCATTAAGTCTGCTGTCTTAACTTCTTAAGGCAAAATCAGTAATAAATCAGATATAACTGTATTTGAAACAATAAATGTGGCATTTATGTTAAAAAAAAGCATTTCATCTGAAATGAATGCTTCAACTTCCTTCTTCATCTCTAAATTTGTTTTTCTTCCTTCATTTTCTCTTTTTTTCCCCAAGACTAACTCTTCACTTGCATCCTTGTTGCTATTCCTTCTCTCATATGCAGAAACCTGATTTATGAGAATAGGAGTCTTGTCTGTCTAATGCCCAGCTTCCACAACAGCGAATACCTAGCACATGGCAGATATTAAAAAACATGCACTGAATGCTTTATTAATGAATTATCCTCTCTTTCTGTTGCTTTTTCAGTTTCTCCCCTCTCCTTCTAAATCAGGTTCTTTTGTTTGTCTACTAATATGTCTGTCATTTTTCAAGGGAGAAAAAATAAATAAAGAGAACCCATACAAACCTCCTCTTCACTCTCTTTCCAAGTTATTGGCTATGTCTTTCCTTCTATCACCAAGCTTCTTTTAAATCATATCTTCACCACTTAATATTCACTACTTTGAAATGTAGTTTTCTCCCAAAAGTGCCTTCTCAAAATCACCACTAACTTCCTAGACCTTTTACTCATCCCTCATCCTCCTTGCTGCTCTTTCTACATCATTTAAAACAAAGGAACACCCACCGCTTCGTAGAACTCTCCTCCAGGAGGCCTTCCTTGACTCCCTTAAAGATAAGTTATATACGTTCCTTTATTTCCTGTAGATTATCACAGCATTTATCATGCTGTTTGTAACTGATTACTTATTTGTCAGTATCCCAGACTACACTAGAAGTTCTTAAAGACAGGTATTATGTCTTCTTAATCAATGTATTCTCACTGTCTGGCACTATAACTGCCCAACAAATATTTGTTGAATAAACGAATGAATAGCATCATCAGATCAACATCTAAGAGTTCTAAAAATACTGGATAATGGGAGTGTTGGTTAAAATAAGGAAAAAGGGCAAGTAAAAGTGGTGGGAGGGGCTACAGACAATCTGAAAGCAGCATAACGAAACGAATCAGTTCCTTCATGTATTCACTCATTCGTTCATTTGGTATTTACTGTGAGCAAGGCAATTAGGAAAGAAACAGAAGGATAATCAAGATATTGCACCTATCCTCATGGATCTGTCTTACAACCCAGGGCTGAGGGTTTGGGGAGTGGTAAGAACTGGTAGGAAATAGGAGTAAGATACTTTGCCACTAAATAGCAATTCTGAAACTACTATTAAAATATCAGGACAGGGACTTCCCTGGTGGTGCAGTGGTAAGACTCCAGGCTCCCAATGCAGGGGGGTCGGGTTCGATCCCTGGTCAGGGAACTAGATCCCACATGCATGCCGCAACTAAGAGTTTGCATGCCACAGATGAGGAGCTGGCGAGCCTCAACTTAGGAGCCTGCCTGCCACAACTAAGACCCAGCGCAACCAAATAAATAAATATTTTAAAAAGTAAAATTAAAATAAATAAATAAACTATCAGGACAAGTTTAGAAAACCACCAATCAGCTTCCTCTGGTCCACTTGCCTTCACAATCTAGGTCTACCAGTAGCAGTTCTCAAACTTTAGTGTACATGAGGAGCACCGGGGGAGTTTGTTAAAGATGCAGAGAAATCTCTCAGAAATTCTGATTCTGTGCGTCCAGGGAGCTACATTTTGAATAAGCATCCTAGGGGATTATGATGCTTTTGGTCTACAAAGTCCTTAGTCATTCACACTGTCATAATTTTGCCATATCTGAGTTATGTCTATAATATTACTTTCTAGTAATTCCTTTAAATTTAAAAAAATATATAGGTCTTTCTCTATACAGACAGATACATGCAGATATGTCTATTTATCTATATCTTAGTCTTATCCTAAGCAAAAGGTTTGATAACTTACATTTTTGATAATACACATGAAATAAATACATAACCATTAAAAAGTCTGATTATATATATATCATTGGATAAGAAACAGTTTGAGAAGCACTGTTCATGAGATTATGCTCTGCAAACACCACATTCTACATGCAGTCTGATGATATAAATTATAACTAGAAGCTCCAGGGCAGTGAAGTTCAGCAGAATTGTGC